AAAAGTCATACTTTAAACAAATAATTTCAACTTTGCAATTCAGTTTATATAATTCTTATAAATATTAGACAATGTTACAATATTTATAATAATCTATTTGAAAACATTCAATATTCCTCGAACATTTCTTTACGGTACGGGAAGTTCCAGCAATTTGGCTTAAGGCACGATGCCATATACCCCACTAGTTTAATTTTTCTATACAAAAATTCATCTGGATTTTTACATCCAACATATGCGAATTACTAGAAAAATATTTTTATTATAGAAACATATTTGATTCTGGGGTCTCGAAACTAATGCCCAAGGACATGAATAATTACAATATTTTAAAGTAAGTTTTAATTTTAATATAAGTAATAAAATTAAATTAATGGATATTTGTATGCCGGTGTGTTCTATTTACAAAATAACAAATTATTTAAAGCAAAATGTGCATTAGTAATTCAATGTTTTTCAATTATAAAGTTATGCTAGCAACTACCGACCTTAAACTGCTCTCATCAATTATGCAAAAACTTTTCAAAATTGTAACAACATTTAAAGTTGCTTAATTTTCAATAAAACAATATAAAATAATTAAGTGCAAAATGCAACTTTTCTCACCTAGCTCTGTCTGTAGAACTATGGAATATTTAGTAGATATTCTATGTATTCATGTATTTTGTCGGATCATGGACAAACGCAAATATAATTAGTGGAGGATATTTTATTTCCATCCATTCAGTTTTGCGCTATGTAAGCCTTAACAAGGCAGCAAAAGCATACAAGCGAAAACAAAGGAAATATGCACAGAATACCAATTTCGATGATACATATGTACATAGTACAACATATGAAGGAATTTGAGCAATCACGGTGCAATGAAATATTTTGGATGTTCCAAAATGCAGTTAAATAATTTGAACGGTTCCACAACCAATAATTTTGACACTATGTCATTAGTCTGCATCTATTGATCAAATAAAATCAATAGTGTTTAATACAGATATAATATTCTCATATGACATGTTCATATAATTGCTTCATTGTAGTTTTTATTCAAAACTAATAAGAAACTAGAGGTGTATGGCATCGCGCCTTAAGGCAAATTGCTGGAACTTCCCGTACCGTAATGAAGTATTCGAGAAATATTAAGTGTTTTCAAATAAATTATTATAAATACTACACTTATATTAAAGACAAATAAAACTCAAAAAGTAAGTAAACTCTATCAATCGAATTTAACATGAAGGACATTACCCAATATTTATAAAAATTATATAAACTGAATTGCAAAGTTAAAACTATTAATTTAAAGTTTATAAGTGAGCTTTAGAACTTTAGCTAGAATTAAAATTAAAATTCGAATTCGATTTCGGTATTCAAAGAAATATATATTTTTCGCAAATAAAAAAAATTAAATGGATTTTTTTCTGAAAAGCAATCGTTTCAACACAAGCTCTTTGCTCCGCATCTCCGTAACGCTTGCACCTGCTTTTGCTAAAAACTAAACAGCACGTCTCCTTATCAGTAGAAATCTAATGATTTTTGAATTATTCAAATCGGTTGATCTGTGTTTGTGAAATCGTCGACGAAAATTTGTATCTGCACACAGGCACGCAACACACACACACACACACGCACCACACAATTTTTTAGGCTATGTCAAAATGTTCAGAAACGTAAAAATATATAAAAATTCTAGCAAATATTAAAAAGATATTGCAATTACTAGGGGGATGTCCCCGAGTGCCGGACACCTAAGGTTATTTATAAATAAATCAAAAAATGTTTCGAAATGTTTATTAAATTATGATTTATGTTAGATAACAAAGTTAGAAATCAAACTAAATTAACAAACACGCAATCTTTGCTAAAAAAAAAATAATTATACTATCAATCAAACTTTGGTAACAAAAAATTGATTTTACAAAATGGCATCTAGTACCGGATATTTTAAAATAACCAGCATTGAACAAATATGTGGCCACCTCCACAACTGGAATGTCTGCACATTTGTGTTTGACATATTCTTAGATATTGCAAAAAAATCACTAATTATCCACCGTTTTGGCTGAGTCACACCGATGCTTTCAGCTGGAGCATTCATCATAAGATTTTCATTCTTTGACTAGGAAATACAAAAAATGGGGGTATATAGTGACCGTTAACACTCATACAAAACAAAATTAAATATTTAGAATAAATTACGTCAATTCTCACAAAACATATCAATATATTTACTGTCCGGCGCTAAGGGATGACTTAGTGTCCGGTGCTAAGGGGCAGGCATTTTCGTTCATTTGGTGGTACCTACTACTAAAATTGTTTAAATATCTAATAATATTCTAACATTTTACAGATACTACTTTTATCTTTGAAATCCACTGAAATATAAATGCATAAATACACAAGAATTACTTAAGC